CTTCTCAATTACTTCCTGGGACTCGCATGTTCGCGTGTATCGGCAAACATGCATGTACTCTATTTAGCCTGCTATTGTGTTTGAAACAGAACACTCAGAACAAGAGCAAGGCCCAACTAGAAGGGCCTTAGCGTCAAGCTGTACTCCGCTGCCCAAAAAAGGTTTATCGTGGGTCTTTGGAAATAGTGACAAAGCTGAATTCTGGATCTAGTCTGCACCACGAACGCACATTTTTGAAGCTGCCTGAGGAGTTCGTTGTTCAGTTGACTCACGGCTTCCTTCTCCCTGTGAAGGGCTCGAATAGCCTTAGTCAGAGCGGTGAGGCGAGCATTTTGAAACTTGTCGTTTTGTGCATTCTTTGTCGTCCTGCAGCGGTTCCGCTGTCCAAAACCCTCACCACCGTTGCCGAGGTCCGCGCTTTGTTGTGGTAGCACACTGCAACTCAGAAGTCTGCGAAGGCGATCAATCTCAGCATATGCGTTTTCTAGTTCCACTCTGGTTTCCCTCTTTTGGTTTAGTTTTAACGTCTTCTCTAGGAACCTTGAGGGTGGGGGAGGTGGGAGACAAAAGAAAAAGTTCATATTCAATATGTTGAATATATTTTCAACCAAATAATGTGAAGAAAAGATAGTTCTGACCACACTAAGGTGGTGAATGTACTTACTTGTCTGCTAGAAAACAAACTTATCGAGACAATCGCACATTACGACGCAAGTAAAAAACGAGCTATGACGTCCGTTTTTGGTTGACTCATCATCATCAGCTATACTCTATTCCGGAGGATAAAGTGATCTTAATTGCCTGAGGTAAGCTATGGTCTTGGACCTTGTCTTTAAATTTCGGCTGGGCTACGAAGCTCTGCCGCCCACATTACGTGGGAGTAAACTTGATGATCTCTTCTAGAAGACCTTTGAGTTAAAATAAACCACCTCCAGATAAACATGCCAAAAGTACGAAGTTGGATGACGGAACGCTTTTTGCAAATGAATACTTGAATTCCCACATGTGTCCTGGTACTTACGTTTTGGTTACGTGTTATTATGCAACTCGATTCCAATCTTTCTGTGACTAGTAGTGACCTGACATCGCATTGTGACGATCGACCCCCACGTGTCAATTACTGAATACTTGTACGGTGGAGACAAGTTAGTGTTGAAGAGCTAGTTGGTGACACACAAAGCACCTTATCCCAGATGGTCGCTAAGACAAACTAAGTGCTTCGTGTGTTTAGACACATGGCAACTATAATATCATCTGGGATGTTGCTGTTGAGGATCTGTCTGGTCAAAGTAGAGTGCAAAGTTTATCGTATTGTTTGATCTCCCAAACCGACACAAATTAACTCACGAAAATGAAATAACTGCATTGTTTTTATATTTAGATCAGGCGTTCCGGTTGCGCTGTAGCTATTAGAACGTCTTACGAGAATTAGGACTCAGTGTTGATGCTAATTGAACACATGCTCTCCCGATTTTTCTCCAGGCATCGGCAAGCACATTTGATACAATCAATATGTCTGTTTCCGAGTGAAACTATCTTAAAAAAGTCACAGCACATATACTTTTCTTCTGGACTTTTCGCCCATACAGTTTACGCAAACGGGTAACGCCGTCATGTAGGCCATTGTTTTGGTGTCATGACAACGTGGATACTCAATGACAGTATACCACAATAGATGTCAAACACATATGCGCGGAGTCTAGCTTAAAAGTCACAGCTATTGAGATCATTCTTCTACACACATTTTGCTAAATATTTATTAATACGTAGCTCAGAATGGCAATTAAAATCGATTAACCACTTTCAGATCAAAGTCTGATGAGTTTTTGCGTTGTCAGCTTCGGCAAAAATACAAATCGGGGGTGAACGAAATTCAGGAAATTCAAATCCCACCGAACGCCTCGAGATTTTTCACAACTG